AAAAAAAAAAAGAAACAACAGGATATTTCCATATAAGTTGTGCCTGTGTGAGTTATTCCTTCGGTAAGATAGAGAGGAATGTTATTTTTTCCAGTCAAACGTTATCAGAATATTTTGTAGATTAAGATAAGGAAGAAAATCTCGTATGAACATGTACAGAGCCACGTCAGAATAAAATGAACACGTGCTGATTAAATTAGATACTGTTCTAAAGAATTCAATATAAAGAAATATCCAGATTAGAAAAACAAAATAATATTGCTCGTGTTTAAAAATTACAGACTTGATGTTCGATTATTGCCAGATTAATTAATCAGGCAAATTCAAATGGGATATTACCTGAAATTTAATGTCAGTAATAATAAAACTCATTAATAGTAATAAATTCCAAAAGTTGCACGAAGTGAGAGATTTAAGAGCTAGAAATTAAATATTTAAAAAAATTTTTATAATAAATGATAGTTTAATAAAACGGATGTTCATTTTATTCTGATCTGTATCTCAACACATGCTACGCGATAGAATTAAAAAATATCTGTGTGAAAAAAAATTCATAAAAAATGATCGTAAGAAAAGGAAATGTTCTGTGCATGGTAATATCTCTACCAATACTGAAACTATTCAAACACTATTCGATTTTATACTATTCTCATGTTATTAAAAATAAAGCAGAGAATTCGATCTCCTCCTGGAACACCCTGTAATTGTATAAATTACAATCGTTTTACAATTAAATTGTTTAAATTCACTAATTAAAATTTGCAATACGGTGCAGTATTTGTGTTTAACTTTGAAAGATAAAATCTACGGGACATGTAAACGGTGGAGATTTTTACCTAATTCGATTGCATAAGGATTGTCCTGGAACTTGCGTGATTCGTTGTCGCGAATGTAACCTGTTGCGAGGTTCCTTCCAGCGACTATCAATTCTCCAACTTCCCCTTGCGGTACCAGTCTCATCTCTTTGTTCACGATATAAATCACGCAGTTGTCCAACGGTTTCCCTATGAAATTAAAATTTTCCAATTTGCCAAACATAAATGAGACGCTGACTGATAACAAAATAATAAGATTACATTGTTAGACTTATACGGATTTTCACGCGAGTTCATAGTTTTGAGGATGTAATTAGAAAGGTAGAAAATTGTTGCTGGAAGTAATTGTTATATGTTGAATATTTTATATGTTTTATTAGATTAAAGATTTTCTATAAATGCAGCCTGTTGGGTTGTTTCAAAAATTTGCATGCGAAAAGATATTTTTCTACCTTTTTTACTTATTTTTGCAGATTATTTATTGTCGAATTTAAGTATGCTTGACAAATTTTCGAACTTTTGCTCGAAAAGGAAGAAAATTATGTTTTTTTTTTCTTTTTTTTTTTTAAATTCAAAGCCACGGTAAAGGGTAATTATAAGGAAAAGAAATAAAGGATTATCACTATTTTTCTCTTTAAATCGAAAGACCATAGCAAACATTAGATAAAAATAAAGAGAAATTTTTTAATAACGATAAATGGAAAATTACTATTTTCTTAGATCAAGGGTTACAACGAAAGATTATGTTTCTAGGAGATTATTTAAAAATTAATTATAATTATAGGAAAAAGAAATTATTCTGTTTACCAATCGGCACTTTCTCCACATTCTGCAGTTGCTTCCGATTGCTCAAAAGATGATAAGTCACGTCCCCCATGATCTCCGTGCTGCCGTAAAAATTCGCCAGGATTTTATTGCCATTTTCGAAGGTGGCGAAGAATTGATCCGCCAGTGAAATTGGCAGCGTTTCTCCAGAGCATACCCAAAGTCTCAGTGAACGTAACGTGTTATCCTTGTTCTGAAACATGTCGATAAACCGTCCAGTCAGTCAGACTTAGATAATTGCCGTGACTTGAATAATTAATTCTAAGAGAGGCTTGATAATTATTGATCAGTTACTGATTCAAGGATGATAACGTCCATACTTGGTTGATGAATCGATCGTCGACTATTAATTATTATTAAGTTAGAAATTGAATTAACTGAATTCACTTGGGAAACTTTAACTTTAATTCTAATTATCTATAATTTAAATATACAGGAATCGACTGTAAATTGAGAAGCTTGGTGGAAATGAAGTGCATAGTATGAAATTCATAGTATGAAGAATTGAGATGAGTGCGTGGGAAAATTTTAGACTGGTTTCTATTATATTACATTTAAATTAAATTAAGGTGAATACTGTTCACACAGAATAAATAAAAATTTCCAAATAGATTCATGATTCCAAATTGATTCAAAAAGTACATTTACATTGTGGAAAGATATTCATTCACATCACTGTAAGTGATATATGCTATATATTTGTAATATATTATAATGTATTATAGTATAATTTAATATACATTATAATTATATTATCATGTTATATTATCATTATATAATACATATAAGGCATATTACTATGTAATGTTGTAATCATATAATTTTATAAAGTATATATTGTATATATTGTGTAATATTGTACATATATTATATATTATTGTAATTATAGGGAATATATCATCTACATGATGCGAATGAATATTTTTATACTATAACATTATCTCTCTTAAAGGCATTATGTAATGTTTACGCGAGAAAAGTATATTGATATTTAGTTTAGTGACAGTAATAGACTACAGACGTTTATTCAATTTTGTTTCATTTTATTTTATTTTTACAAACGTAATAGAAATTTGTACCACACACTGAAACAGTTTCCATTATCTTACGTATCTACCTATTTTTGCACATATTATGCACGTGTATG